CCTCGCTATTATTTTTATTTTATGTGTATGCCTGTATTGCCTGTGTGTAGGTAAGTGCACCCATGTTGTACAATGCCTGCAGAGGACAGATGAGGCTGTCAGATCCCCTGGAACTGGAGTTAGGACAGTTGCTACTGCCATGTGGGTTCTGGGATTCAAATCCGGGTCTTCTGCAAGAACAATCAGTGTTCTTAACCACTGAGCAATCTCTCCAGCCCTTAATGCCTTCTTTTTATCTCCTCCTTCCCTCTTTCCCATTCCTTGGGCCTTGGCCAATGAGGGCTTTTGAGGGTGATTACTTCATAAGGGTGGAGCCCTTGTGAATGGGATTAGTGCCCATATGAGAGTCAGAAAAGCTTTATCTCAACCCTCTGTGCTCTCTGCTATGTGAGGCCAGAGAGAAAATGAGCTGTAAAATGGAATGCCTTCTTTTTATCTCCTCCTTCCCTCTTTCCCATTCCTTGGGCCTTGGCCAATGAGGGCTTTTGAGGGTGATTACTTCATAAGGGTGGAGCCCTTGTGAATGGGATTAGTGCCCATATGAGAGTCAGAAAAGCTTTATCTCAACCCTCTGTGCTCTCTGCTATGTGAGGCCAGAGAGAAAATGAGCTGTAAAATGGGAAGGGGCCCTTTTTTGACACTGCACCTGTTTGTGCTGGGTCTTGGGCTTTTCCAGCCCCCAGAACTGAGAAAGATTTCTTGTCTAAGCCACCCAGACTATGGTGCTCTTGCTAGAATAGCCCAAACTAAGACAATGCCACTTCCTGCCCTGCTCCATGCCCTCTTATGGCCAGGTTCAGCAGCTTACTCTTACCTGTAACACATATGTCTCTGGCTGTTTGCAGCCCTGTTTTTGTCAGAGACTGTTTTAGTATGTTAGCAGAGACCTCCCTCCCATATCAGTGACTTCAGTTTTATTTTAGATGGCCTAACAATGCAGCCACAGGTCGAGGCCAGAATTGTGAGTAGTTTTGGAGCCTTCAACCAATGGAAGGTGGGAGGCGGGAACAGGCAGCATTCACTGAAGACTCTTGATTGATACAGGCTGGAAGGCCCAAACCAGAACCTTGCAGGCCTCTACGAAGGTATTTTAGGTGGACAGTGCAGGACAAAAAGTAGGTTCACATTCACAAATACGTCTGTAAGCCCGATAAATTGGGAGGATTGGGAGGAACTTTACAGTCAGTGAGTGACTGGTCAAGCACTGACTTAGCCTCTGGGAGGTGAGACATTGAGATCACTGAATGCAGACAACCCATGGATTACTGATGAAAGGACATGTGCTAAATGAAAAGACATTTACTGAACGTACACGTGAACAAAGTTCGCACAACCCATTCCGTTCTCACAGCACCAACCAGAGGTGTCCATAGGGCGATCCAGGCTTTTTGGATGAACCAACACCCACCCCACCCCACCCTCAC